CCGCGCGGCACTGGTGCCAGAACCTGTCCGCCAACAAGGAAGCCGCCATCCGTCAGGTCGGCCCGGAACGCTACCGCCTGTGGGTGGCGTACCTGGCAGGCGCCGCCGGCGGTTTCGAGGCGGGCTCCATCAAGCTGTTCCAGGTGGTCGCCACCAAGCACGCCAGCAAAGGCGTCTCGGGCAACCCGCCCACCCGGGAAGATTTTTACCGCGCCGCGTAGCGACTGTCGTGAAAGTGCCGGGGGCTCAATCATTGAGCGGACCGACGCGGGCGCCGGGTGCGCTCCCGCTAGGGAAGCACCCGCTGCGTGCGGACGCTGGCTAGCTGGCTCGGGGGCAAACGATCTGCGTTGGCAGCCAGTATTGCCGCACCCGGTAGATTCGCGCCGCCAGCGAATTGGCCGCGGCGGCGGGCGGCGGAGCAACCGGCTATCCGTTGATGACTTTTTCGCGTTCGATTCCTTGAATCGCGGAGGAGTGCTCCATCACAATCCGCCAGCCTGCCTTGGTGTGACGCAAGGTCGTTGTCGTGCGGATGTGGACTTGACGATGGCCTTCCTGGCCGGGGATTACGTACTTAAAGCGGTGCACAAACGAGACCAGCGCGGTCTTGTCGAACACGCGGGCTTTCATCTCGCGGCTTTCTGAGTCGTAGAATCGGACCGCTTTCATGTCCCGTTCGTAGGAAGCGGCGATCTCCTTGTGCCCTCTGAGCGACAGCCCATTGGAAGCCAACATCTCAACACGCTCGTCTTCTTCGTAGAACCCCGACAACTTTTGTGCGTCGTTCTTGTTGAACGTGTCGACCCACGTCTGCATGACCCGCAGGACGGACGCTTGATCCTGATCTGCTTGAGCATGAAGGGGCGCAAGCATCAGGACGAGTGCCGGAAGTATTGGCTTCATGGTGTCTCGGGGGAGTTGGTGAGCGAGCGTTACTGACATTCGCCTGGTAGGGCAATCTGCTCGCAGGGAGTATCGTTTGCAGGATAGGCGGTGTGACTAGTCGGGGGTCTTAGGCATGCTTCCTGGTTTCTAACAGCTCCCAGTCCCGCGCGAGCGTGGAGCCCGGCATTGCTAGGAAGACCACCACTCGCTGTGAAAAAGCTTCCCCGAAATGATGGTGTCCAAGAAGACGCGTTGCTCGTCGGTAACCAGGGCCCGCGGCGTGTACCCATGCTCATCGGGCTCGGCAAGCAACTTGTCTCTGGCTTGTCGAGCAACTTCCGCGAGCGCATTCTGCTCTGGTGCTGAAACGGCTGAGAGTGTCAACGACAACTCTTCAAGCAGCGTCACAGAATAGTCTGGCTCGACAGTGTTCTCATCGCTGAACAGAAGCAGCCAAATGTAGTCGAATGCGATCTGAGCCAAATTCGTCTTTTACCTGTCCGCCTCACTCGATGTTTATCGGGGACCTACTTCGGTAAGCATTCGCTCATCCTAACGGTTGGCCGCAGGGCGATTCAAGCAAGGCTCGACAGCGCCGTTCACACTAACGGGTAGCACCGGCGGCCGCTCGGTGGGGCGCCTCGCCAGCGGGCAGACGGGTTCGAACGATTGTCGGTGTTCGCGGCACAGGCGCCGGCTCAGCCTGGCGATATGATCTCGCGGTTGACGCGTCGCCGGTCGGTTTCTATATTTCGTTGTGTGGCGAAATGACGTTGTGAGGCGGGCTGCCCATGCGAGACCTATTAGCAATCACCAAGGCGCTGGCGGACGAGAACCGCTTGCGGGCGATTGGCCTGCTGCGTGGGCGGGAGCTGTGCCTGTGCCAGCTTGTCGAGGTGCTGGGGTTGGCCTCCTCGACGGTCTCGAAGCACATGTCGGTGCTGCACCAGGCCCGGCTCGTCGAGTCGCGGAAGCAGGGCCGGTGGGCCTACTTCCGCCTGGCCGGCGACGACGCCCCCGGCGAAGCACGGGAGGCCCTGGAGCTTGTGCTCGCCAGCCTCAAGCAAGACAAGCAGGGCAAAGCCGACCAGCAGCAGCTCAAGGCCGTGCTGAAACTAGAACCCGAAGAACTCTGTCGAAAGCAGGCGAACTGGCGATGTTGAAGGTCTTATTTCTGTGCACGGGGAACTCCTGCCGCAGCCAGATGGCCGAAGGGTGGGCACGACACCTCAAGGGCGACGCCGTCGAGGCGTACTCGGCCGGCGTGGCCACACACGGCATGAACCCGCAGGCCGTGGCGGTCATGGCCGAGGCCGGGGTCGACATCACGCCCCAGCACTCCAAGCACGTCGACGAGCTCGCCGACGTTGAGTTCGATTACGTCGTGACGGTGTGTGACAACGCGGCGGAGTCGTGCCCCGTGTTCCGCGGCGACGCCACGGTGGTGCACCAGCCGTTCGACGACCCGCCCCGCCTGGCCCGCAACGCGGCGAACGAGGACGAGGCATTAAACCACTACCGACGCGTGCGGGACGAGATCCGCAACTACGTCAACACGCTCCCCGCCGCGCTGAAGGGAGGCGACCATGGCGAGTGACGCCACCACTCCGGCGCCGTGCCCGGCGGCCGCGTGCCCGCACGGGAGGCTCGGCTTTCTGGACCGCTACCTGACGCTGTGGATCTTCCTGGCGATGGCCGTGGGCGTGGCCTGCGGGCACTTCCTGCCGGGGGTCGAGGCGTTCATTAACCGTTTCCAGGTCGGCACGACCAACGTGCCGATCGCGATCGGCCTGATCCTGATGATGTACCCGCCGCTGGCGAAGGTGCGGTACGAGGAGCTGGGCGACGTCTTCCGCAACTGGCGGGTGCTGGGTCTGTCGTTGGTGCAGAACTGGGTGATCGGCCCGGTGCTGATGTTCGCGTTGGCGGTCGTCTTCCTGCAGGGCCACCCGGAGTACATGACCGGCTTGATCCTGATCGGGCTGGCGCGGTGCATCGCGATGGTCATCGTGTGGAACGACCTGGCCAGGGGGGACGCCGAGTACGCCGCGGGCTTGGTGGCGTTCAACAGCGTGTTCCAGGTGCTGTTCTACAGCGTCTATGCCTGGTTCTTCATCACCTGGCTGCCGCCGATGCTGGGGTTGGAGGGGAGCGTGGTCGCGGTCAGCATGGGGCAGATCGCTCAGAGCGTGTTCATCTACTTGGGAATCCCGTTTCTTGCGGGGATGGTGACGCGGTTCGTGCTGCTGCGGGCCAAAGGCCGCGAGTGGTACGAGCAGACGTTCATCCCCCGCATCAGCCCGCTGACCCTGGTGGCGCTGCTGTTTACGATTCTGGTGATGTTCAGCCTCAAGGGGGACCAGATCGTTCGCATCCCGGGCGACGTGTTGCTGATCGCCGTGCCGCTGTTGATCTACTTTGTCGTGATGTTCCTGGTGAGCTTCATGATGGGGCGGCAGATCGGCGCGGACTATTCCAAGACCACCGCGTTGGCGTTTACCGCGGCCAGCAACAACTTCGAGCTGGCGATCGCGGTGGCGGTGGCGGTGTTTGGCATCAACTCCGGAGCGGCCTTCGCCGCGGTGATCGGGCCCCTGGTGGAGGTGCCGGTGATGATCGGCTTGGTGAGTGTGGCGTTCTGGTTTCAACGCAAGTGGTTCCCCTCGGCGGCGGCGGAGGCTAACTAACGGCGGGCGCGGCCTTGCGCTGCGTTTACCCAACTAGGTGAGGTCGGATTGAATAACAAACCCCTGGTGCTGTTCCTCTGCACTGGGAACTCGTGCCGCAGCCAGATGGCGGAAGGGTTCTTGCGGGAGTTTGCCGGAGACCGTTTCGACGTGCTGAGCGCCGGGACAAAGCCGGCCGACAGCGTGCACCCGTTGGCCGTGCAGGTCATGCAGGAGCGAGGGATAGATATTAGCGATCAGCGGCCCGAGGATTCTGCGGACTACCTGGGCCGCATTTCGGTGCGTCACCTGATCATTGTCTGCGCCGGCGCCAACGAGACCTGCCCCCGCATTTTTCCGGGCATGCTCAACCGTCACTTCTGGCCCTTTGAAGACCCGGCCGGCTTTGACGGGCCGCCGGACGCCGTCCACGACAAATTCTGCGCGGTGCGCGACCAGATCGAAGCCCGCATCACTGCTTGGTTAAAGGAGGAAGCATGAGCGTTCAAGACACGGTCAAGTCAAAGTACGGCGGCGTCGCGAAGAGTGGGCTGTCAACTGACCACGACGGCGTTAAAGCGGTCGCCGAGGCGTTTGGGTACACGGCCGAGGAGCTGAACTCGATCCCGGCAGAGGCCAACATGGGGCTCTCGTGCGGCAACCCCACCGCCGCGGCGACGCTGCGCGAGGGAGAAGTGGTCGTCGACCTGGGGTGTGGCGGTGGGCTGGACGTGTTCCTGGCGGCTAAGAAGGTGGGGCCAACCGGCAAAGCGATTGGCGTCGACATGACGCCCGAGATGCTTGAGCTGGCCCGACGCAACGCGGAGCGCGCGGGTGTTGAGAACGTGGAGTTCCACCTGGGCTTCATCGACAACCTCCCGCTGCCGGAAAACTCCGTCGACTGCGTCATCAGCAACTGCGTTATCAACCTGGCGCCCGACAAGCCCGCCGTGTTCCGTGAGATCGCCCGCGTGCTCAAGCCGGGCGGGCGGTTGGCCGTTAGCGACATCGCCCTCAAGGCCGAGCTGCCGCCGGAATTGGGGAACGACCTGATGGCGTACGTTGGGTGCATCGCCGGCGCGATACCGATCGACACCTACCGGCAAGAGCTCTTGGCCGCCGGTTTCGACGCGGTGCAGATTATCGATAGCGGTAGCGACCTGAACGCCTACGCGAAGGTAGAGAATCAGTCCGCCTGTTGCTCACCCTCGATGGGGGACAGCCTGCCGGTTGTGTCGGTGGGCGACGCCGACCTCCACGCACGTTTGAAGGACCTGCTGACCCGCTACAACGTGAACGACTACGCGGCCAGCGTGAAGGTGTTCGCGGTCAAGCCTGACGGTGACTCCTAGTGTTGCACCGGCAGGGGGACCCGGATGGCCGGGTGACGCTCGCGCATCGCGCCGTCGGCGCCAGTCGTCACAAGTTCCGCCCGGGCACGCGGCGCTATTTCACCTTGACGATGGTTCGCTGGTAGCGTGTCAGCGGCGGGGCGCCGGTGTCGGTGACCTCACAGACGACGTGGATCGTTGCCCCGCTGGCGGCGTCGGCCGGAACGGTGAACGCGGCTTCCTGGTTCTCCGCGTCCTGAATCTCCACCTTGCCTGGGTAGGTGTCGGCTTCCGTGTAACGCCACCACCGATAGGTGAGCTGGTCGCCATCGGGATCCCGCGAACCCTTGATGCTGAGGGGGACGCCCTCGCCTGGGCTGACGCTCACATCGAGCGCGCGCGGCGAGGCGACCACCGGCGGGTGGTTGGCGTCGGCGTACGTCGCGACGCACCAGTCGGCCCGGGCCGCAAAGTCATTCTGGACGGCGTCCGTCCACCGCACCAGCGGGTAGAAGTAGGCTCGCATCAGGTCCTGGCTCTTAGGGTAGGTGTCCCGCATGTACTTCCGCCCCCAGGCGGACCGGGTGTACCACCGGCCAGCGGGGTACGCGAACTTTGGATCGGGAACGGGGTCGAGCCAAGTCGCCCCCCGCACGCGGGTGTACCGGCCGCCCCACCCACCGTACCCGGGCGATTCTGTGCTACGCAGGCCGGTCGGGATCACGTGCAGGAAAGCGGGCGAGTCACCCTCCGAGCGGAAGTCGCCAGGGGTAAAATCGGTGTCGCCGGACAGGCCGTGGCTGCCAGGGACGTGGGCCTTGTAGAGCGAGCAGAGCGGGCCGTGGTTCTCCAGGATGTTCGTTTTCATCCATTCGGCCTTAAAGTACTCTTGCTTGTCTTGCGGCAGGATCTTGTTCCACTGGTAGGCGATCGACCAGAACTGGTCGCAGATGATCGTCGGGATTTCGTACCGGCCCCAGTGCGGTCGGATGTAGCTCTGGTAGGCGTCGTCCTGTTCCCAGATGAAGAAGAACCGCGTCTTCTGGGCGACTTCCGCCATGCGTTCGGGGTGGCGTTCCTCAATCGTCTTCAACGCCCGGGCGATAGTGTTCGTGCCGCCCCAGGCCTGAAGCCAGACGGGCCTGGAGTCTGAATCGTCAAGCAGCACCTCGACAATGCGGGTCGACCCGGGCGTTGTTTTCTCCATCTCGCCCTCGGCGTCCACGTTGCCTAGCAGCGTGCGTGCCCGCAGGAACTCCGCCGTGGGGTAACGGGGGTCATGCTTGACCAGGTTGGGTTGCACTTCGGCGTAGGCCTGCAGGTACGGCTCGGCCCAGTCGTCACCGGCCCAGCGGTGCCCCCGCCAGTGGTACTGCGAGCTCGAGGTGATGATGCCCTCGACATCCCACTCGTTGGCGTACAGCAGGAACCTTACCAGCGAGCACTCGTCGTCAATCTCTCCATCGGACGTGACTATGACGCGGGGCTTCTCGGACGCCGGCAGCACGCCGCCCCACAGGAACGCCGCCGCTCCGACTACGGAAGCCAGCAGGCGAAGCCGGCGATTGTTGACTGTGTTACTTGGCATGCTGACGCTCCAGGACGTTGACATTTTCTCCGGGGCTGGTGTAGTCGACGTACTGAGTGGGGTCGCCGCCGTTAAGGTATTCTTCGACGTTGGTGTAGCCGTCGTTGTCGCTGTCTTGGGTGTTGTCGCCGTCGTCGTGGGGGTCGAGTCCAAACGTGACCTCCCACTGGTCCGGCATGCCGTCGTTGTCTGTGTCGGCTGGAGGCTGGCCCGTCTTCATCTCGACCCACCCGCCGGCTTCCTCCTGATTCGTGACGAACCCGTTCTCGCCCCGAGAACCGACGCCGTTCCGGACGTCGCGGATTATCCGGGCGTCGATCGCGTCACGGGTGGGGAGCGTGCAGCCCACCTGCTCGAGCACCGCGTGGTAGGCTTGTTCCGCCGTCTGTTGCTTGATCGGCATGGCGGGCCACGGTTCGCTCAGCCGGAAATGGTCGTCCTGCTTGGTGACGCCTTTCCAGTTGTCGGCGGTCACCTCGGGAAAGCCCGCGACGAAATTATCGGACACCCACCACTGGCCCGCGTCCGCCTCGCCGTTGCGGGTCGAGGGGTCGAGGATGCGGCTCCTGACCCCATCTTGGGTGCCGGGCCCCGCCTTGTAGTAGTTCGCGATCAGGTTTCCGCTGAAGGAACTGAAACGATCGTTGCCCGGCTGGTGAGCCTCGCCGCCGTAGATGCTCTGGTGCTGCCAGTTGTAGATGACGTTGTTACGGAAGTCATTCAAGCCCCCACCAGAGGCGAAGCGAGGATTGCGTGAGTAGTTGTTCGCGAACAGGTTGTGATGGTGGGTTCCTCGGTTGCTGCCCCAGATCCCTCCAAACTTGTGGGACTCGGAGCCGGCCTCGCTGATCAGGCACCACTGGATGGTCACGTCCTCGCAGTGGTAGACCGACATCACCTCATCGGTGCTCCAACTCGCCGAGAGGTGGTCAAGAACAATGTGATGCTTGTACCGACAGCCAACCGCGTCGCCGCTGCTGTCGGCCCTCACCCGCAGGTACCGGATCACGACATGGTTGGCGTCGATGGCGATGTTGCCCTTCAGCGTGACGCCGTCGCCCGGGGCTGTCTGACCGGCGATCGTGATGTAGTCGTTCTTGATTTTTACGTTGCCGTCGATCGTGCCGGCGACGCGGAACACGACGATCCGCGGTCCTTTCTCGCTGCAGGCAGCCTGCAGGCTGCCCGGACCGGAAGCGTTGAGGTTCGTGACCGCGATCACCTTGCCGCCTCGCCCGCCGGGAGTGGAGGCTCCGTACCCCTCGGCGCCCGGAAACGCGGGGACCGCTGGCGGTGCAGCCCCATTCTGCGCAAACGTCACTTGGCCACACGCGACGGGTAACAAACAGATGGCGAGCGAGCACAATATTGAGATTCGGGATATGATCGCAATCATTTCGACCCTCATGCGTGTTGTTTCAGTCAAGAAGTGGGAGTACGCGAAATTCGGCCGAGCAGGGACGCCGGGCGACATGCCTACCGATTTGCTGGTTCAGTAGCCAGATCACGAATTACGGAGACGCGAGCAACGCTTAGCACGGTGAGAGCTGACTCTATCGATCTGCCCTACGCGATTCCACCCGCTCCTTCGGTCGCGTCCTGAAACGAGTCGAGATCGCCTGAGGACGCCGACCGGCGCTACGCCTGCGTGATGGGGGGCTTGCGACACACGGGGTCCGCGGTTGCAAGACGCGTCCGCGGCGCCACCTTATGGGCGCCGGAGGAGGCGTCGGTTGCAATCTTTGAGCGGGCGGCGTCGTCGGTTGCCGCGCCTCACCGCCGATTGATCTTCGCCGCGGCCGCCGCCCCGCGGCCCAGACGTTCGAACGACGCCAGGTACTCACCCAAGTCGGTCTCGATCGGCGTGATCTGGGTCTCGTCGACAAAGCCGATCGTGCCGCTCCACGGGTCGGGCGCACCGGGCAAGTAAATGGTCACCTTGCCGCCCAGCGACCGCTCGATCTCCAGCACCGGGCGGGTAACCCCGTCAAGGTGAACCAGCGCGGGCATCATGCGGCCTCGCAGCGCGTCGGCGTCGAGGCCGCCGGCGAGTTGGTCCTTGTAGATCGAGTACCTCGGGAAGATGAGCGTCAGGTTCCTTTCAACGAATCCGCCAATCCGCTGCCCGATCGTCCACCTCGCAACGATGCCGGCGGCGAAGCAGAGCAGCACAATCACCAGGACCGACAGCCCCAGGAGGATCAGGTAGCCGTTGGCGGTCTTGAAGCCGAGCGTTTCGTTGAGGAACTTGGCGATGCTCAGCACAATCGGCGCTAGCTGCCCGAGCAGGAACCCAATCACGATCAGCGGCAGCAGGAACACCAGCCCGCCGATTGCGGTGGTCTTGAGGAACCCGATCTTCTTGGTGACGTGGTCGATCATTGTCGGATCCTGGGCCGTGGGGGATGGGCACAGGATAAGGCGAAGCGCGGGACAGCAACAATAGGGCCTTCCTACCGATAGGGCGGTCAGCATGTCGTGCCGCAAAACGCTGCTGGCGGGGGCAGGGTAGGGTACAATCGCATTGCCGGGGCGGTTGTGACCGTGCTGGGTGTTTGTTTTTTCTCGCGTCCTGCTCGCACGGGAGTTATTTGATGCGGTGGATTGCTCGGTGTTCGGTGTTGCTGCTGACGTTGCTGTTCTCGATGCTTGCCGGTGGTGGGGCCCTGGCAAAGCCGCCCAATTTTGTTTTCGTCCTTGCCGACGACCTGGGGTACGGCGACCTTGGCAGCTACGGCCAGCGGCAGATGGAAACGCCCCACCTAGACCAGATGGCGGCCGAAGGGCGGCGGTTCACCCAGCACTACGCCGGCTCGACAGTCTGCGCGCCGTCGCGGTGTGTGCTCATGACCGGCAAGCACCTGGGCCACGCAGCAATACGCGACAACCGCGACGTGAGCCCCACCAGCAACCGGCCGCTCCCGGCAGAGGAGGTCACGATCGCGGAGGTCTTGAAGGGGCAGGGGTACGCGACCGCGCTGATCGGCAAGTGGGGGCTGGGGGATCAGCACACAACCGGTCACCCCAACCGACAGGGGTTTGGGTACTCGTTTGGCTACCTGAGCCAGTCGCACGCCCACAACTACTTTCCAGAATACTTGTTCCGCAACGGTGAGAAGGTAGCCCTGCGAAACTTTGTGCCTGCCGCCAAGCCAAACGGCGCGGGCGTGGCGAGCCGGCGCGTCGACTACTCGCACGATCTGGTTGTAGAAGAAGCGCTCGCTTGGCTGGAACTGAACCACCGACGACCGTTCTTCCTGTACCTGGCCTTAACGCTGCCGCACGCCAACAACGAGGCGGGCCCGCACGGCCAAGAAACCCCCGACCACGGTCAGTACGCCAGCCGCGACTGGCCGGAACCGCAGAAGGGCACGGCGTCGATGGTCTCGCGCCTCGATCAGACCGTCGGCCAGGTGCGTGCGCAACTTGAGCAACTGGGCGTCGCGGAGGACACATTGGTGGTCTTCACCAGCGACAACGGCCCGCACGCCGAGGGCGGGAATGATCCAGCCTTCTTCGATTCCTCCGGGCCGCTGCGGGGGATCAAGCGGGACCTCTACGAGGGGGGCATCCGGTCGCCGACGATCGCCGTGTGGCCCGGGCGTGTTTCTGCCGGCTCTGAGGACGACACCATCAGCGGTTTTCAGGACTGGCTGCCGACCTTCGCAGAGCTGGCGTCGGCGCCGGTCCCGGCGGGAATCGACGGGCTGTCCTTGGCGCCGACACTCACCGGCGAGGGGGAACAACAGCAGCACGAGTCGCTGTACTGGGAGTTTCACCAGCGGGGCGGTAAGCGGGCGATCCGGGCCGGTAACTGGAAGGCGGTGCAGCTGGGGATGAGACGCTCGCCCCAACCGATTGAGCTGTACGACCTCAGTCGCGACCTGGGCGAGCAGAACGATGTCGCCGCCCAGCACCCCGACGTGGTCGCGAGGCTCGAGAGGTTGATGGATAAGGCGCGGGACGATTCAACCGACTACCCGTTCCATAACTAATTGCGGGTGGGGCGCCGTTGGCGGCGGCTACTCGGTCGCGGCCAGGAAACAGAAACCACCCGGCGGGAGCTTGGCCTCGGCGCCCGGGTCGTACGGCTCGCCGGTCTGCAGGTTGTAGAGCGTGGCGTCGAGCTGCGGGACCTCAAAGGTTTCTTCGTTCGGCGAGAAGTTGACCAGCGTCAGGATCCGCTGCGAGCCGTCAACCGCGGTGCGCAGGAAGGCCAGCACGCGGTCGTTGGCAAGATCGACCACCCGCTGCTTCGCCTCGGGGTGGAAGGCCGGCTGGGCGATCCGCAGGGCCAGCAACTCGCACAGGCCGTCATAGATGAGCCGCTGCAGCGAGCCCGGGTGAGAGAGGTGCTCGTCCAATTCCGGCAGGCTGTACTTGTGCCGGTTGATGCGGCGGTTCTGGCCGCTGGACTCGACGCCGGCGTAGTCGTTCCGCGTGCCGACTAGGCTGTGGAAGTACACGGCCGGCATGCCCTGGAGCGACAGCATCACCGCCTGCGAGGCGAGGAACCGGCGGACGTGCAGCTCGGCGTCGACGTGGCCATGCTCGTCCGCGTCGGGCGCCATGGCGTCGACGTACGCAATGTTCAGCTCGTAGGGGGTGTCGGTCCCGTCAGCGGCGCGGCGGGTGTTGATCTTGCCGCCGCGCGCCTTCACCGCGGCGATCACCTTGTCGAACCGCTGCGGCGAGACCAGCCCTTCCAGCGGCCGCACACCGACGCCGTCGTGCGAGGCGGTGAAGTTGAAGAACGTGCAGCCGGGCGGCGGCGGCGCCAGCTTGCTCAGCCAAGCGCGGATGGCCGTGGCGTCGCCGTTGACGAACGCGTCCAGCAGCAGCGGCGGCAGGCTGAAGTTGTAGACCATGTGGGCCTCGTCGCCCTGACCGTCGGACGGGTCGATCTGGCCAAAGTAACTGACGTTCTCGGCGTGCGGCACGTTGGTCTCGGTGAGCACCAGCGTGCGGGGCGACGCGACCTCCAGCAGGTCGCGGCACAGCTTAACGACCTCGTGGGTCTGCGGCAGGTGCAGGCAGTTCGTGCCAACCTGCTTCCACAGGAACGCTACCGCGTCGAGCCGGACGATCCGGGCGCCGCGGGCGGCGTACTCCAGCAGCACGCGCAGCATCTCCGCCAGCACGGCGGGCTCGCCGTAGTTGAGGTCGACCTGATCGGCGCTGAACGTGGTCCACACGTGCTTCTCGCCGCCGGCGGTTTGGTACGGCGAGAGCAGCGGCAGGCTGCGGGGACGGACGACCTGCGAGAGGTCCTCGGCCGGTGAGGCGTCGATGAAGAAACGGCTGTACGGCTCTTCGCCGCGGAGGTACGCCTGGAACCACGCGTTGTGCTGAGAGCAGTGGTTGAGGACCAGGTCGTACATCAACTGGAAGTCTTCGCCGAGCGCTGCGATATCTTCCCACGTGCCGGATTTGGGGTCGACCGCCAGGTAGTCGATCACCGAGAACCCGTCGTCTGACGAGTACGGGCAGAACGGCAGCAGGTGCACCGTGTTGATCAGGCCGTCCAGCCGCTCGCGCTTCAACCAGCGGTGCAGGGTCGCCAGCGGCGTGGCGTCAGAGGAACGCAGCTGATCGGCGTAGGTGATCAGCACGATGTCATTCTCGGACCAGCGAGGCGCATCGGCGGCGTCGGCGCTGCTCTGAGCAAGCTGTTCGCTCACCGGGGCGATGGCCTGCTCGATGAGCGCGACGCCCTCGTCGGCGCGGGGGCCGTAGACTCGTTTAAGTCGCTCGACGACCGAACGCGGCAACGGCGTTGAAGGCAAGGCGGGGCTCCTGGGCGGAGGAAATCAGCAGGCGGGGCTAGTATTGTTGCACATCCGCCCGCCGTTTGCGATGCCCTCGCCCTCGGCCGCCCGCTTGGCCTGGCTCAGCCGCCTGCCTCGGTGGCCTGCTCGACGCAGTACAGCCGGTCCGACGAGCGGATGAAGACCTGCCCGTCGAGGACGGCGGGCGTGGCGCTGAATTGGCCGCTGTCGGACTCGAAGCGGTTGGCGGCCAGCTGCTGAAACTCATCGCCCAGGGCAAGCACGAAGCAGCTCCCGCCGCGGTTAACGAAGAACAGCTTGCCATCGGCCGCGACCGTGGAGGAGTAGTCCTGGCCGCGTCCGCGGCCGCCGCCCGAACCGCTGGCGAGCCGCTCCTGGTAGACTTCGGCGCCGTCGGCCAGCCGGATGCAATTGGCGACGCCGCTCGCCACCCAGTACAGGTTCTCGCCGTGCGCGACCGACGTGCCGATGCCGGCCCGGTGACGCCCCCGCCACTCCACGTGCGACTCCGAGACGTCTCCCTTGCCGCCAATCTTGACCGCGACCGAGCCGCCGTCGCGTCCGCCGAGGAAGTACACGACGCCGTCTTTCTCGACCGGACTGGCGCACGCCGAGTTGGATTCGAACGCCTCGCAGTACCACCGCAGCTTGCCCGTGTCGGGGTTCATGCCCCAGACCTCGTACGGAACCGCCACGATCAGCTCGGCGCCGTTGGGGCCGTCTACGAGGATCGGCGTGCTCCAGGTGCCGGCCAGGCTGTCGGCCTGCTGCTTCCAGACTTCCTCGCCGGTCTGCTGGTCGAGCGCAATGATCGATTGGCTCTCGGCCGCGGCGGTGACGATTACCAGATTCTTGTAGAGGATTGGGCTAGAAGACGTGCCCCAGCCCATCATGCCATTGCCCGTGCCGACGCTGGTCTGCCAGAGCTTGTTACCACCCATGTCGAACGCCACCACGCCCGTCTTGCCAAAGAAGGCGAAGACCCGTTCGCCGTCGGTCACCGGGGTGTGCGAAGCGTAGCCGTTTTCGGCGAACATGCCGCGGAACTCTTCTTCGGGCTGCACCGCCGCGACCTCTCGGGTCCAGATCGTCTCGCCGTTAGTGCGGTTGATGCAAACCAACACCCGCTTGAGGTCGTCGATGTTGTCGGAGGAGCCTTCGCCCGCCGCGTAGCCGGTCCAGCTGGTCAGGAACACGCGGTCGCCGTGCACGACCGGGCTGGAAAGGCCCGGGCCGGGGAGCTTGGCGGTCCACCGGAGGTTCTTGGTTTCGCTCCACTCGCTGGGGACGGGGTGGCTGTCAGAGCTGACGCCGTCGCCCCCTGGGCCGCGGAATCGAGCCCAATCCGCGCCGTCGACGCAGGTTGCGGCGGCAAACAGGAGCAAAGCGGCTAGGGGCGTTCGCATCAGACCATTCCTCCGGTGATAGGCGGGCGCCAGGGTCCGCGCGGACGCCCGGTTGGCGATGGAACCCGTGCCGACGCGGCGGGCGCCGCTCAAAACCAAAGCCCGCAGCGATTTAGCGTCGATCGGACGTCGAAGGGCCTGCGTGTTGCAGCGAATCGCCCGCTCGTCGGCGCCGCCCAGTCGCGGTCACGGCGGCGAACGTCAGCAGCGCGGCCGCCACGGGCTCGGGCGCCGCGGTGGCGGCCGGGGCGGGCAGCGTGCGTCCCAGGTTGTCTCGCCAGACCGTGTAGTCTGCCGCGTTGACGACGCCGTCGCCGTTTCCGTCGGCGGCCAGCACGCCGGTTTGGCCGTACCTCAAACGCCATTCGGCGTAGTCGCCCTCATCAACCGTGCCGCTGCCGTCGTAGTCCCCCGGGATCTGAATAGAAGTGTTGATCCGGAACACACCGCCGCCGCGGGCAATGACGTACAGGTTCCCGTCGGCGTCCTCGCCGAACGACGTCGGGATAGAGATATCGTTGCCCGGGTCGAGCAGCGACTCGAGGTTCTGCACCGTCCCATCGGGGTCGGAGGGCTCGAAGGACCACAGCCGAGAGCTGTTTGAATCGCCGAAGAAGTAGCGGCCACGGACCTCCGGATCGGCGCCGCGGTAGACGTAGCCGCCGATCACCGCCTCGCCGCCGAACGGGAAGGACCCGTTGGACACGTAGTCGTAGACCGGCCCGACGTAGCCAGCCGGCTCCGGGCCGCCGGCGCCGCCGGGGGTCGAGATGTCGCCTTCGCGGAGTCGCCAGCCGTAGTTCTCCCCGCCGGTGCTGTCGGCCGGTTGAAAATCAATCTCCTCACGGGCGCCCTGGCCCACGTCGCCGATCCAGAGGTCGCCGGTCTGACGGTCGAAGCTGGCGCGGTAGGGGTTCCGCAGCCCGTACGCCCAGATGTCGTCGAGCGTGCTGGGCGACCCGTCCACAAATGGGTTGTCGGCGGGGACGGCGTAGTTTTCCGTGCTGTCGGCGGGGAAGTCGTCGCCGTGAACATCGACCCGCAAGATCTTGCCCAGCCGGGTGTCCAGGCTTTGTCCTCGGTTGTTCGGGTCGTTGCCGCTGCCGCCGTCTCCCGTGGCGATGTAGAGGTAACCGTCATTCGGCCCGAAGCCAATCCACCCGCCGTTGTGGTTGCTGAAGTCCTGCGAGAACTCTAGGACCGAGCTGCTGGAGGTTGGCGAAGCCGCCGTGCCGGTTAGCGGCTCTGGCGCCTGGTAGCGTTCGATCAGTGTGCGGTCGAGGCCCGGGCCCGGGTCACGCGTGTAGTTCACGTAGAAGTAGCCGTTGTTGGCAAAGTCGGGATCAAAGGCAAGCCCGAGGAGCCCCTGTTCGTTTCCGGCGTCGTCTACCTTGGTGGCGATGTCCAAGAACGGCGTGCCATTGAATTGACCGGTTCCGAGGTTCAAGATTTGGATCAGACCCCGCTGGTCGACAACGAACAGCTCGTCGGGTCGTCCGGGCGCGTGCGTCGCAAAGACCGCGCTGGCGCCCGATCCGGGCAGCGACCCCACCAACGATGTGCCCGTAACCTCCGCCGCCACGCGAGGCGTCGGCAGCATCGCCGCGCCGCACAACACTAAGAGAACCGCCCGTCGTCCGTTCCTAGCCCATGTCATGGCTGGTCGCTCCCTAGTCGCTTGCTGGTGCTGTTGCTCGGTGAAGCCAATCTTCGTCTGTGCACGGCACGGGTGGCCGTTATTACCTCATGGCAGCCTAGGGCTGCCGGGGCGCCGAGTCAATAAATTGCGCGGGCGGTTAGCAACGCTCTTCATGCTAGACCCGCGGCGCTAGCTAGTACCTCTGAGTGGGGATAACCGCCAAGGGCTCACTGCCAGTAGTCATCCTAACTGAAAAACTGCGTTTACCGGGCGAGGGTGGCGATGCAGTTCGGGAGCAATCGCGTGTGTTGGCACGGTCTTTGCCTCTTATTGCGCAGATCACCGTCTTCGCAGACGACAAATTGCTGCTACTACAGGAGGTAATCCCCGATGTCCAAGCGACTTAGCGAGAAAAAAATTGCCGTGCTTGCCACCGATGGTGTCGAGCAGATCGAGCTGGAGCGGCCGTGCACCGCCCTTAATCAAGCGGGCGCAGAAGTGCACTTGGTGTCCCTCAAGGCAGTTTCCATCCAGGGCGTCCACCATGATCAAATGGGAGACAAGTTTGAAGTCGACAAAACGATCGATGAGGTGAGCGCCGAGGATTACGACGGCCTCGTGCTCCCCGGCGGGGTCTTTAACCCTGACGCGCTCCGCATGAACGAAACAGCCGTCGACTTCGTCCGCGACTTCTTCAAGCAGGGCAAGCCCGTCGCGGCGATCTGCCACGGCCCCTGGTTGCTAGCCGAGGCCGATGTGCTTCAGGGTCGCAGCGTCACGTCGTGGCCCAGTATCAAGACAGACCTTATCAACGCCGGCGCCAAGTGGGTCAACAAGAAATGCGTGTGCGACAATGGCTTGGTCACCAGCCGTCGCCCGGACGACCTCGACGCCTTCTGTGAAAAGATGGTGGAAGAATTCGCCGAGGGCGTGCACGAGGAGCAGTCTGCTTAGCGTTGCCCGCCTACATTTCTACGCCACCAGCGGCGCCGGCAGAAACCGGCGTCGCTCTTCTATTACAAGGGTGACGACGGTCAATCGCCCAGCTGCAGTTCTTCCGGACGGTAGAACAGGGCGATGGGAAGCATAATGGCCGCCGTGGTGAGGAACACCAAGTTGCGCGGCAGGTTATTGTCCTCGAGCACCCCCATCGAAGCGCCGAACAGCAACGCGCCGAGCAAGATCCCCACCCAGTTTACCTGGTTCATCAGCGCGATCATTCGGCCCTTGTCCTCGGCTGGGGGACGCACCTGCAGCGAGACCTGGATCGGCACCACAAACATACCCGTGCAGAATCCCAGGATGATCAGCACCGGTATGCTGCCCCAGAAGCCCAGGAGATGATCCTGAGGGCCGCCCGGCAGGCTTAGCAGCACCAGGGTAACCACGATGCCCACCGCGCCGGTGGTCACCACCCGCGGGTTGATACGATCCTTGGACAGCCGGCCGCCCAGCAAGCAGCCGAACGGGATGCCGACTCCAAGCATGGCGGTGAGGATGCTGGTGTTGGCGCCGAGGTCGAGCTGCGTCTTGCCCAACGCATTAACCCCCGATTGCACCATGCCGCCGAGCATCCAAAAGCTGCTGGTGACAATTAGTGCGAGCAGCAATTGCTTGTCTCGCATGACTAGGCGAATCATCTCGGGCGGCACGAACAGGTCTGAGCCTTTGAACTTGGCTCCGGGGTTTGCCACGCCCGTCGGTCGCACGAGCGTGGAGGTCAGCGTGCCGATGATCGCGACCACGATGCACAGCACACCCACCCGCCAAGCCGTTTCTGGGGCAGAGCCGAACAAAGCGATCAATGCGGTGCCGAAAATGATCGCCAAGAACGTGAACATCAAGAACACGCCGTTCGCCTTGGGGAGGTCATGATCGTGCAGCATCTCGGGCAGGATGCCGTACTTGGGGGGGCCGAAGAATGCGCTCTGCACACTCATCAGGAACAGGACAAGCATCAACCCAGTCAGCCCGAACGACCCGTAATAGAGGAACGCGACCAGCCCGAGCACCATCACGGCGATCTCGGCCACCTTCGAACCGATGATCAGATTCCGCTTTACGGTGCGGTCGGCCAGCCAGCCGGCAAAGCCGGAGAAGATCAGGAACGCGGTCGCCATGACGGCCAACGCGATCCACTGCTTGTCCTCGCCCGCCTCAGCGGCGCCGGGGGTCGCCAGCAATAGTAGCCGCTGCTTGAATAGGTTGTCGTTGAAGGCGCCGAGAAACTGCGTCAGGTTCATCCCCCAGAACGCCTTGTCCCGCATCAGGGGTGGGAGCTCCCCCTCGACTCGAGTGGACGAGGGGGCCAGCGGTGCGGTGTGGGTAGGGGCTTCAGGCATGCCGCAGATTATCGGGGCAAACCACCACGCATGAAAAGAGCGATTGCTGGCCGCCGCTCGGCGACCCTGCTAATCTCCATACCGTTCGTGCATCGCGGTCCGGACTTCCTCCAGCGGGTAGTCCTTGATCGGCAGGTCAGCGTGGGCAAGCTCCCTCAGACGCCGCCAGCCGCGAGTCACGAGGTCCTCTTCGGTCTGGACGAATGCGGGGTCGAGCTGCCGCTTGTCGAAGGCCCCCTCGCAGACCACAGGATTAAACTTCTCGTCGACGACGTACTGGGCCAGGGTTGGCACACAGCGCAGGTGCCGCTCGGGCGAGGTGTGCAGCACCTCAGGGTCCACCCGGCCGATCACGTACCGCAGGTAGAGGTCGCTGTCGGTCATCGATCCGACGTCCTGGCCGCAGACCTCGCAAAGGTAACCCTCGTCGCACTTGGCCATGGAGAAGCTGTTGGCTGTTGGCTGTTGGCTGTTGGCTGTTGGCTGTTGGCTGTTGGCTGTTGGCTGTTGGCTGTTGGCTGTTGGCTGTTGGCTGTTGGCTGTTGGCCAACGGAGCAGGCTTTTCGATGCGGGGCGGTAGCAGAATGGTTGGCGGCTAGGACCCAGATCGCAGCCCCAGCACGTCCTGCATGTCGTACAGGCCAGCGGGCTTCCCCTGCAGCCACTTGGCGGCCGTGAACGCCCCCGTGGCGTAGCAGTCGCGGTTGCTGGCCGCGACCCGCAACTCGATGGTCTCCCCCAGGAGGCCGAAGATGATGGTGTGCTCGCCCGGGTTGTCGCCGGTGCGGACCGCGTGGTAGCCGATTTCGTCGCGGGGGCGCTCCCCCGGGCGGCCGCTGCGGCCGTGCGTCTCACCGGTCAGGCCCATCGCCTCGCCGACGATGTTGCCGAAGGCGAGCGCCGTGCCGCTGGGCGAGTCCTCCTTGAAGCGGTGGTGCCGCTCGATGATCTCTACGTCCACGCCTGAGCTGTGGTTCTTGAGCGTGCGGCCGGCAATCTCGGTGAGCTTCATTGTAAGGTTGACCGTCGCGCTCATGCTGGCGGCCTTGACGATGGGGATCACCTCGGCGGCAGAACGGATCGTCTGTTCCTGCGCGGCGGACAGGCCGGTCGTGGCGAACACCAGCGGCCAGCCTTGCTTCACGCACACCTCGATCAAGGCGTCGGTCGCCTCCGGGACGGAGAAGTCGATGACCGCGTCGCACGCGTCGGGGTATTCGGAGCTGAGCGGCAGCCCAAGCTTGCCCACCCCCGCCAACTCGCCGGCATCTTGGCCCAGGCTGGGCGAGCCGGCCGAGTCGATTGCGCCGACCAACTCGATGGCGGTGTCCGCCGAACCGACCGCGATGAGCCGCTGGCCCATTCGCCCGCCGGCGCCGTGGATAATAGTTTTGATTGGCATAATGGATGAAGCTCTAGAAAGCGGCATTCGGGCAAATCGCGGATTGTGTGAGGTTAGCTATTCCTTTCCACAATCTCTAGGTCCTGAAGCAGCGTGACGATGGCCAAGGGGATGAATATTACGGTCATCGATAGTACCGTCAGCCAGATTAGCCCGAGTGCGCCGCCGACGTATCGGATTCTGAACTTGCGCATGACTTGCTGTGGCGCCTGGGACGAACGGGGGCTAGTTATTCTTGGTCTCGCCCTCAAGAGGCCGCACGTCGATCATACGGTACTCGATGGTCATCGGTGGCCCGACATGGACCTGCACCCCGAGCCGGCCGCGGAGGCGTCGATTGACGGGGTCGTTGTCAACCACTCGGCTGGCCAGCACGCCGTTGATGTAATGCTCCAGCCGATTGCCTTGGGCGACGATTCGGACTTCGTTCCAGTCGGCACGCTTGACCTTCGCCCGCAGGTCCTCGGCAGCGTGGGGCAGGGCGGTCACTTCACGCGCTTTCCAGGCGTTGCCCTCGACGTGCCTCAGGTCCTCCGCGCCGTCCGTTGGCGGGATCACCACGGATTCGCCGATGCGTGCGAGAGTCGTGCGGCGGCGTTCCTCGTAATTGCTGCCCGTGTAGCGGAGGCGGCCATCGATGTCGAACTGGTAGCCGCGTAGCGCGTGGAACTGGACGCCCTCGACGACCTCGCTGCGGTAGTTGACGCCGCTGTTGCCCTGGGGCGAGACACGGTACTCGGCCCGCAGCTCGAAGTCGCCGGGCAAATCGCCCTGGTAGATCAGGAATCGGTTCTTGTCGATGCGGGTCTGCTCGGTGATCTGGCCGAGTATGGCCCCGTCCCGCACGCTCCAGTGTGTCGGATCGCCCTGCCAGCCGGCGAGCGTCCTGCCATCGAACAGCGGCCGGAACCCCTCCTCGGCGGCGGCGGACGTTGCGATCTGCAACAGCGTAACGAGCATCCACAAGCCCCGAAGCGGACGAGCCGCTTGGCGTCGATCGACTGGGCACGCTCTAGCAGGCATAAGGGCTCCGCTTGGGGCTAACGCTTCACCGTCGCCGAATTGGTCGGTGGCTGGACGGTGGCCGGCGTCGCGACGTCTGCCGGCAGCGCGACGCTAGCCGGTGGCACGGTGCAGAGGATCCGCAGGCTGAGGAACAATGAGGCGACGCCGATCGGGCGCGTGACGACCGCAACCTGATCGCCGAGCCCCGGAATCGCGGGCAGCCCGAAATAGCAGACCAGGAACAGCAGAAACACGTTCAGCGAAATCCGGTGCCGACGTGGGTCGCCGATGCGGTGCTGGAAGAACGAGGCCGCGATGTACGCCGCCGCCATGAGCAGGGCCAGGCCGGTAAAGAAGTCCATCGTAGCCTTGTCAGTGGAGGGAGGCTCACCGAGCACGACCTTGCGGACTCGTCCGCGCCGGCGGGGGTTAGCTGTTCAGCTGGATCGCCCGCACAATCTCGTCGAGATTGTTGTCGACCTGCACGGCGCGATTGGCGAACTCCGCTCGGCTGACGCCGCGGCTGCCCAGCACGCGGTTGAACTCCTCCTGGTCGGCAGTGTGGTACGCGACCGTGGCGGTAGGGTCTTTCAGCTGATGGCCGGTCAGGATGCAGACGACACGGGCGTCGGGGTCGATGACGCCTTCTTCGCGTAGCTTCTTCGCGCCGGCCACGCTGGCCGCGCTGGCCGGCTCGCAGCCCATGCCGCTGGCGCCGACCTGGGCCTTGGCGTCCAAGATCTCCTGGTCGGTCACCTCGCGGACGACACCGTCCATCCACTCGAGGGCCCGCAGGCACTTTTCGAGGTTCACCGGGCGGTTGATCTCGATGGCGCTGGCAATGGTGTCCGCCCGGCGACCGCCGGTGTCGAGTTCGACGGCGTAATCGTCGATGAGCTTCTGGTCGGGCTGACCGCCGTTCCAGCGGAGGCCGCGTTTCTCGTAGAGCGCGTGCAGGGTGTTGGCGCCGGCCGCGTTGATCACCGCCAAGCGTGGGATCCGGTCGATCAGCCCCAGCTGCTTGAGTTCGTAGAACGCTTTGCCAAATGCGCTAGAATTGCCCAGGTTGCCGCCCGGCACGACGATCCAGTCGGGGACCTGCCAGTCGAGGCTCTCCAGCACGCGGAGCATGATGGTCTTCTGGCCTTCCAGCCGGAACGGGTTGACGCTGTTCACCAGGTAGATGCCCAACTGCTTGCTGACCT